TCCGAGGTCCTGGATCATCTTCACTATCATTATTCTGAATTCTTTTTCTGGAAGGTTGCCTATCTCCACTTCATTTAGTTGTTTTTCTGGGGTTTTATCTTGTTCCTTCATCTGGTACATGGCCCTCTGCCTTTTCATCTTGTCTATCTTTCTGTGAATGTGGTTTTTGTTCCACAGTCTGCAGGATTGTAGTTCTTCTTGCTTCTGCTGTCTGCCCTCTGGTGTATGTAGCTATCTAAGAGGCTTATGCAAGTTTCCTGATGGGAGGGACTGGTGGTGGGTATAGCTGGGTGTTGCTCTGGTGGGCAGAGCTCAGTAAAACTTCAATCCGCTTGACTGTTGATAGGTGGGGCTGGGTTCCCTCCCTTTTGGTTGTTTGGCCTGAGGCAACCCAACACTGGAGCCTACCTGGGCTCTTTGGTGAGGCTAATGGCAGACTCTGGGAGGGCCAAAGGAGTACTTCCCAGAACTTCTGCTGCCAGTGCCCTTATCCCCACGGTGAGACACAGCCACCCCCCACCTCTGCAGGAGACCCTCCAACACTAGCAGGTAGGTCTGGTTCAGTCTCCCCTGGGGTCACTGCTCCTTCCCCTGGGTCCCAATATGCACATTACTTTGTGTGTGCCCTCCAAGAGTGAAGTCTCTGTTTCCCCCAGTCCTGTTGAAGTCCTGCAATCAAATCCCACTAGCCTTCAAAGTCTGATTCTCTGTGAATTCCTCCTCCCATTGTCGGACCCCCAGGTTGGGAACCTGATGTGGGGCTCAGAACCTTCACTCCAGTGGGTGGACTTCTGTAGTATAAGTGTTCTCCAGTCTGTGAGTCACCCACCCAGCAGTTATGGGATTTGATTTTACTGTGATTGCGCCCCTCCTACCGTCTCATTGTGGCTTATACTTTGTCCTTGGACGTGGGGTATCTTTTTTGGTGAGTTCCAGTGTCTTCCTGTCGATGAGTGTCCAGCAGCTAGTTGTGATTCTGGTGTTCTCACAAGAGGGAGTGAGAGCACGTCCTTCTACTCCACCATCTTGGTTCCTAATTGCCCACAGTGTTTTTTAAAACACTGAAAAATCATGCAAAGAGGTATAAGCAAAGAAACTATAGATAAATCAAACTGAAATTTAAAAAAATGTTCAAGTAACCCACAGGAAGGTGGGGAAAAGAAAACAATATTTCCAAATATTGGAAACAACCAAAACGTCCAT